ATCTAAAAACCTGTGTTAAGATGGTGGCTATCTGTGAGGGAGACACCAAGGAATGAATTCATAGTGGCTTTGGGCATGATGTTTCAGTCAATTGATAAAAGGAATATTTTCTGGGGAAATGGGTAAATTCTTTTTTTTTTTTTGAGACAGAGCCTCAAGCTGTCGCCCTGGGTAGAGGGCTGTGGCATCACAGCTCACAGCAACCTCCAGCTCCTGGGCTCAAGCGACTCCACCTCTCAAGTAGCTGGGACTAGAGGTGCCCACCACAAAGCCTGGCTATTTTTTGGTTGCAGCCATCATTGTTGTTTGGTGGGCCCAGGCTGGATTTGAACCCGCCAGCTCAGGTGTATGTGGCTGGAGCCTTAGCTGCTTGAGCCACAGGCGCCAAGCCATGAAATGGGTAAATTCTTTAAATGTAAAATGAGGATACTCACATTTAAAATACTGTAGGTAGTTATCAAACTCTGTTTTGATGGGACAGAGATTAATATTTATTTGTAAGATTAGCATCACAGACTATTTTAGAACATTTGAACCTACAAAATGACAGTCTGCTTAAAGATTTAGATATAAGATTCATATCTTAAGATATAAGAAGTCTTAATGGTTGCAAGGTAACTGATGAAATTTTATATCTAGTGCCAAAAATTGACAACTTCAGGTTAACTCTGAGAGTTATCAAACTATGGGCCAAACACCACACATCTATTCCAATATATTAGGTTTCCTCAGTGGTGTTTCCTGGGCTATGCTAGTAGCAAGAACTTGCCAGCTTTATCCAAATGCAAAAGCATCAACTCTTGTACATATATTATTAAGGGATAAGAGATTAAATATGATACATCTTCAGTCAGGAAATGACATCATTAAAATAATTATAACAGACCACTTATTTCATTAGCTATGTTTAATATGGTATAAAAGATTATTTGGGGGGGGACCTCTTTGGGGACAATTTAATATGTAAATGTATTTATTTATTTATCTTTGAAATAGGATCTTGCTCTGTTGCCCAGGCTGGAGCACAGTGGTGCAGTCATAGCTTGCCACAGTCTCAAACTCCTGGGCTCAAATGATCCTCCTAATTATCTCCCAGGTAGCTAGGACTACAGATGTGTATCATCACAGCTGGCCAACGTTTCAATTTTGTTGTAAAAACAAAGTCTACATTGCTCAGGCTGGTCTTGAACCTCTGGGCTGAAGTGATCTTGCTGCCTCAGCCTCCCAAAATGCTGGGATGACAGGTATGACCCATTGCCTGCAGCTACATATAAATGTTAAAAACACATGGCTTTGGACCTACTAATTGTACTTTACCCCACCAGTTCTACTTACAGGGGTACACAAATATTTCTGCATTACAATGTTCTCCACAAAATTATTTGTAACCACACACACATGTACACACACACAAAAAACAACCAATACAACCTAAATGTCTATCAATAAGAAACTGGTTAAGGCTCGGCACCTATAGCTCAACCAGCTAAGGTGCCAGCCACGTACACCTAAGGTGGCGGGTTCGAATCCCCAGCCTGGACCTGCCAAACAACAATGACAGCTGCAACCAAAAAATAGCCGGGCGTTGTGGCGGGCGCCTGTGGTCCCAGCTACTTGGGAGGCGGAGACAGGAGACTTGCTTGAGCCCAGGAGTTGGAGATTGCTGTGAGTGATGCCACAGTACTCTACCCAGGGGGACAGCTTGAGGCTCCGTCTCAAAAAAAAAAAAAAAAGATACCCAGTAAGTTCACTAACAGTCATTTTGACAGAAACATTAAAACTTCCTGGGCTGGCCTGGAGTTAGCCAAATATAAGCTCAGGAAAAAATGATAGATTGTTTTAACAACTGATCTTAATGGAACAGTATAGTATATGCATGGAATTAATGAGCTCCTCAAGGGTAACAACCAAATGTCTTTTTTTCTTAATCTTTGTATCTCTAACATTCAGCACAATATCTCATCCAAAGTATGTGAATTTTAGAAAAGTTTTTAGAAAGTCAATTAAATTTGTCTGCCTCTACAAAATAGGTAATGACTTCCATTTATATACTGTTCTTGATATTCAAGGGACTTGTAATTAACAATCTACAAAATGTCCAAAGAAACTTAATGAAAGCAGTAAACTGTAAAACATAGAGTAGAATGAGCAAAAGTCAATAAACATTTTGTTTGAGCTTAAAAAAAAAAAAAAAAAGAAATTTCCAGCCCCGGTCAAAAAAAAAAGGAAAAAGAAATAGAGCTATTTAGATCGGTAAGTGCTACTTAACAAAGATCTTTAAAAGTACACCATTAATTTCTTAGTAAACTAAACACAGAATTGCCATAAAACTCAGCAATTTCACATCTGGGTATATACCCAAAAGAACTGAAAAGAGATGCTCAAAAAAATCTTATACATGAATATTCACAGCAACACCACTCACAAAGAGTAAAAAGTGCAACCCAATGCCCATCAATTGAAAAACTGTGGAATATTATACCATAAAACATTATTCAGTCATAAAAGTGGGTGAGGTACTGACAAATGCTAAAATATGGATGAACCTTAAAAATATTGCAGTAAGTCATATAAAAGCCACATACTGTACAAATGAAATATCCAGAAGAGGTCAATTTGCAGGGGCTGGGAGAGGGGAAAATGAAGAGTGATTGTTTAACGTGTACAGAGCTTCCTTTGAGGATGATGAAAATACTCTGGAAATTAGACAGTGGTGATGGCTGCACAATACTGTGAATGTCCTGGATGTACACTGTGAATTAGTATTAAAGTCATTAATGGTAAATTTTATGTTACATCTATTCGAGCACAATAAAAAAAGGAATTCAAATATATGTACATATGTGCTATGGCATGTCAAAAACAAGGGCAGAACCAGTTTCCCCAGTCTGACTCCTGAAACAACTACTCTAGATTCAGTCTACTCATATACAAGCATAATTATTAGTATGCATGTATGTGTACCCATGTGTATTTGTATGCTCATACCCATGTGTATTTGTATGCCCTCCCCCAAATGTCATAATATCTCTTTAAAAAAACTTGAATGACCAAAGTACAACTCTAGGATGATCAGTCAGCTGCAATCATCTAGGCATATTAAGACGGGACATCACAAAAATTTCCAAATGACCTTTAATTCCTAAAATTATTAACATACTTTTCCATGTCATAAAATATACCTACAAGAACTTAGCTAACATTACATTTAAAATTACTTCATGTAATAGTAATTAATTGATATCACTAATACATGAATAAAAAAATTAATAAGAGGTTAAATTACAATTTTTTTTTTTTTTTTTTTTTTTTTAGAGACGGAGTCTCACATTATCCCCCTCGGTAGAGTACATGGTGTCACAGCTCACAGCAACTTCCAACTCCTGGGCTTAGGTGATTCTCACACCTCAGCCTCCCAAGCAGCTGGGACCATAGGTGCCTGCCTCAATGCCTGGCCATTTTTTTTGTTGTTGTTGTTGCAGTTCAACCCGCCACCCTCGATATATGGGGCAGGCACCCCACTCACTGAGCCACAGGCACCACCCATATTAAAAATATTTTAAAAGTAAAATTAAAGTTAAAAAAATTAAGAGGAATATGAAAGTTGTCCCAAGATGACATATATTCATTCAACATTCAGCAGATTATTACTGAGTGTCTACGTGGTGGCAAGCATCATGCATTATACATTTTTTCGAAGAATTGTACTCTTTCAATTATCTAAAGCAGCAATTATTGATGGTTAATGAGGTACACACGAAGAAGCAATTTCCTCAAATCCTAAATGGCCTCACAATCTCTAGGGCCCATGGCTAAAGTGATTTGGAAGAATTATGATGTCCCTTAAGAACTTCAGTACTGAAAATGACAGGCACAAGAGAATATCCAGTTCCCTAAGGAATCCTTATAGAAAGCCTACAAAAGGATTATTAAAGCAATTATGGTAGTCTTTCCATAGAAGGAAAATGAACTCATTGTATTCTACAGGGATACAGAGGCCTACTAAAACTATTACAATTTTTATAACTGATAAGTATAATTTCAGCTTTTCTGGCTAGTCTTCCTCATTCAGACTTGAGAGATTGTATGTCTTTATATGTTACTTGGAAAATATGGTCAAGGAATACAGGAAACCTATAAGGCAAAGGAGATTCAAACAACTGTAGCATGTTACACAATGACCTTAACTATGACACAATAGAAAAGCTTTAAAAAATGTGTTTACTCTAGTTCAATGGCCCCCCATTTTATTATTTTCTTGCATTCCTAATAAAATATTTTTATTTGTGTATTTATTTATTTTTACCAAGCAAAGGAAGGTTTATTAACTATATACAACATTGAGGAATACCAGCTGCTTCTTGGCAATCTAAAATGTGTTTCAAGGCAGCTGCCTGTTTCCTAAAATGTCAGGGTTTTAGGCAGCTGCCTGGGCCCTCAGTTCTTGGGAGTGCTCTTGGTTGAGAAATGAGCAGACATCCCAAAGTATGGCAAGCATGAAACAAGTTTATTGAGAAAGAGAAAGATTTACAGAGTAAGAGCAAGGTATACCTGCTTAAAGAGTGAGGTAAGTTTGTCGTTACAGGTAGTGAACAGGCCTCCATTTTCACAAGGAAAAGGCAAGGATGCCTATTTTTTTTTTTTTATTTTTAGATGGGGCCTTGCTCTGCCACCCAGGCTGAAGGGCAGTGGCCCAACATAGCTCACTGCAGCCTTGAACTCCTGGGCTCAAATGATCTTCCTGCCTCAGCTTCCCAAGTAGCTCAGACTTGTGTAGGCATGTGCCACCACACACTGTGGCAGGTGCCTGTAATCCTAGCTACTCAGGAGGCTGAGGCAAGAGGATTGCTTGAGCTCAAGAGTTTGAGTTTACTGTGAGATATGATGCCCTGGCACTCTACCCAGGGCGACAATGTAAGACTTTGTCTCAAATAAAATAAAATCCTGGGACTCAAAAACAAGAGCAAATAAGGCAAGCCCTTAAAGCAAAATAACCAAACCTTTGCTGATTTCCACATTAGGCAAGTTGAAGATGTCAAGGTCCATTGAACCTCCTTTAGTCCCTTCTGAAAGGTCTAAGAGGACCAGCTTGTCCGCTATGCCCTATATAGTACAGTAAGAAAAAGAACAGCATTACACTGGGTATAGCCAGTTACTCAATTTAAATTCATTCAAAAATGAAGGCTAAAGAAAAATACACAGGTTATCACATGCTGTCTTAAGAAGGAAAAGTTAACACTAGCAATAAAAGTAACATGCAAGCAAGAAATTATGGCCTTGTACATTCTTAAATTTTTTGTTATAAAGCTGGCACTAGTTTTGACTTTCATGCTAGAGATAAGATGCTAATGCCAGCTTTATTACAAAAAATTTAAGAATGTACATCCAGGTTGGGGATAGTGGCTTATGCCTGTAGTTCTGGCACTCTGGGAGAATTATCTGAGCTCAGGAGTTTGAGACCAGCCTGAGAAAAACAAAATCCTATCCCTACTAAAAATAGAAAAACTAGCTAGGCATGGTGGTGCACTCATATAGGCCTGGCTATTCCAGAGGCTGAGGCAGGAGGATCACTTGAGCCCAGGAGTATGAAGTTGCCATGAGCTAGGCTGATGTCATAGCACTCTAGTCTGGGTGGCAGTGCAAGACTATGTATCAAAAAAGAAAAATGAAAAAATTTTCCACCCAGACAGTGCATGACAAATAATGACAGACTCTTCTAACAGTTAAAGAATACCTTTCTGTGCTTACCCACCAAAATGACAAATAATTACAAATAATTACAAATAAAATTAATAAAACTCAGTACTGGTAGGGATGTCAAAAATCAGGTTGATGTGCATATTATTATTAGCATCATGAATTAGTTCTGCCTTTCTGAAGAGCAATCTAGCAATATGTAATAAGCACCATAAAAACCTTTCATGAGGCTTGGCACTGTAGCTAAGTGGTTAGGGCACCAGCCACATGAACTGGGACTTGCAGATTCGAACCCAGCCCCAGCCTGCTAAACAACAATGACAACTACAACAACAAAAAATAGCCAGGCATTGTGGTGGGCATCTGTAGTCATACCTACTTGGGAGGCTGAGGCAAGAGAATTGCTTAAGCCCAAAAGTTTGAGGTTGCTGTGAGCTATGATGCCACCTCACTCTATCGAAGATGACATAGTGAGACTCTGTCTCAAAAAACCAAAACCAAAACCAAAAAGCTTTCATGACCTCTAGCATGAAAAATAAGCAACTTGTAAATTAATATTATACTAGCATTTTATTTGTAACAAAAGATCTGAAAACAACTCAAATTCCAATTAACAGGTAACAATTGTATTCAGATGGAGGGTGGAGAAAATATAATAATAATATGTGAAAAGGGCTCGGCGCCTGTGGCTCAAGCGGCTAAGGCGCCAGCCACATACACCTAAGGTGGTGGGTTCGAATCCCC